CGTGGTTTTTGTATTAGACCCGTCGTCCATTTATTTGTAAGTCAATGGATCCACCTAATATTTTAAAATGATGTTACATTTCAGCAACTTATGATTTCGTGCGCATGACATCTCATGAAAGTTTCTCTTTCTCATCCAATAATAATTGAACACATACGCGAGAAGCATTCAAAGAAATGGCCGAACGGTTACCATGCCGGACTGCCATGCAGAGGTCCTGGGTTCGATTCCCAGGCCGGGAGAAATATGTGTATGGCCTACATTTATTTCTCCCGTGACTTTGGGTGTAATTTGTGGTTGTCTATGTGTCTGTCCATGGCACCCGCGACACAGGGTTTCCCTAGTGTGGGGTTATGTTGAGTGTGTGCGTTATTATTATTATTAAAGAAATATTCATTTTTTTATATAAATTTCAAACACAGATCAAGTTAAGGCAATCCGCATTTAGTGATGTGAGTAGAATTCATAAAAACTTTTTGGTTTGAGGTTTCGAAGAAGACACCATTTACAGATACACCTAAACGTTCTCAAGTAACTACTATTGCTTACTACCTTTTTTCGTCGCTATGTAACTGTATACGAAAACCTCTGCTCAAGCAGCTATGTTATAATAACGTATGTGACTAAAAAAACGCGTATGTACTTAAATTCAGATAAGAATCACGTGAAATTAGCACAGGTGTCGCTCTAGGCAGCTTACTAGACCCAATCTTACATTTTTGCTACGTTGAGGATATTCCCGCTATAACAGAGCTCAAATGGATATGCAATGGCTTTTTAATACTGATTCATTATGTAGACGGAGAACTCTATCATTATAATTGACTGGTTACAAGCCGAGTCGAAAAGTTAGTGTCAGTTTGTGACGGTGTGACCTCCTTACACCGCCATCTCACCTCTTTGTATCGCCTCTCTCCTCTTGTATCTTATCATTTTTTTTATTTTACTTGTATTTAAATTTTAAATTTGAATTGTTCCATCTTCCTTCACTTTCTCATTTTGTTTTCGTACCACGGTCACTCCCAGCTCGACCGCCACAACAGTCAGAGCTGTTAATAAGCTAATCATGTGTAATAATTTATAAGTCTACACTCTTCATGTATCTCTTTCTGTAATTCAGTTTCTCGGCCCATTTAGGGGTAAGTGCCTTAATAATAAAGTGTAGGTAGTGTTTTATACTGTTATACCTGTTTTTTACATTTACCTTTATATTGTTACAGCCTTTCTTTAAACTTTACTTCTTTAATAAATTTTGTGGACCGGAAGTTTCCCATTTCATTGCCGTGAACCTGTTCACGGCTAGTTAGGGTTGCAACCCTTTCAAGTTTAAACTCTAAGTGACGTTACAATATGGTGTAGTTTATTTCCAAATACCTGGGTTGCAATTGGAAACAAAGCTTCATATTTTAAAATTCATTGTGTTATTGCCGAAGCCGAAAAACCATTGGAGTGCCTAGCTTACGCTAAAGCTTGAATGCGTAAATCTCTTAATAAGGTTTTAACATTTTTTGACTCAGTCTTTATTTCGGTGCAGCAAAAGTTTTTTTCCAACGTCAGTGAGTCAATTTGTCAGTTTTTGTATGCTGCGAGAACAAAAAATGCACAACCGAAAAGAGGACTTAATGTCGGCTTCAAAAATATACCCGATAACGAATTCTCTTTGAAACTGCACGTTGGCCACATTCATAACTAACTTCACTGAATCTCGTATGCTCTTTTGTAACTATCGATTTAAAAATAGGTATTAGTCAGGTAGACAGTCAAATGGACATATTGTTACACTAATTGCTTTATCATAGCTGTAAGGCGATTTTTTATTCTCTAAAGGGATGCATTTTATTGATTGGCTGTTTACCTTCATACAATTTCTGTTTATATAAGGTTAATAACCTCCAAATTTAAGTTGAATGTAATTTCTTTCTGCATTCAAGCGACATCATGACCTTTTATTTTGATGAACATTATTGTTTAAGTGACTGATGCTCTTCTTTAGTTTTATGTTTCATAAAGTGGAACATTGAAAATTTCAATGTTTATTTACACTATTATTAACTATTACTATTATATTACACAAGGCCTCTTTACTACCGATACAATTTTGGAAATCCAGATGTACCATCATCTTTTAGTGAATACAGAAGACCAAATACCAAAATAAAACGTGCTAAATTTTTGCATTGCAACACGCTGTTCCAGTATTGTCGTATATCGTAATGTTTAACTCGATACCGCCTGTAAGTTGATTACTAGCATCATTGTACAAATTTGACAGATGAAACATAAACCTGTCTAGAAGTTCTTCAAACTGTGATACAGTAACGTCACGAGTATTACAATGAATCGCTTGGAAAATGTATAAAGAGGATATGAAGTGAGAAGAATAGGAAATTAATAGAAAATAATTGACTATCTTACCTCCACGGATTTCACATAGAACAGATACACTGTCGCCTTCTTCAAGTGGTCCGATCACACCGCCGATATCGTTGCCTTTTTCGTCAAACAGCACGATCTTATGTGGTGGCACTGTATCAAAAACAATTATTGTAATTATTAAAATCATCATCAAGCTTACCCTACGGTGGAAAACATAGTCGTGCCCCAAGAGTGCCAAGAGGTTTATAGGTGACTCGGAATTAGTAAAAGTGAAGCTGCGGAGTCTTGAACGACGCCGTAAACTTGCCTGCTTATAGATATTATACAGGACTGAATATCGCCTTCCCCTTTTCACCATCGGGGGATTAAGCGTGGGTTTTTTTTTGGGTTTCACTCCTGTGTTGTGGATATTTCAAGGGTTCGCACGAAACGTTTTGTTTCCACATTAGAAGTACGTAGTGAACAGCTATAGAGTGGAATTCCCTGCGTGCAGACATGTTTCCTGAACGGTTTAACTTGGCCTTTTCAAGGCCAGAGTGAATAGGCGTTATATAACCGCTCACGCGATGCGCTCCTCCTACCGCAAAATGGCGGCTATTTGGTTTCGCAAAATAGAAAAGAATTCAGTTTAAATACAAGTTCTTATAAATAAAAATTATTATTCTGCATTGCTAAATAAATACCCTCCGTACTACCAACAAAAACATCTCAAATAAAATGCAGTAATACACCGCAAATCCTGCACTTAAAAAGCACCAATGAAATTTTTGGTGTACTTGGATAAATATGATAATATTCCGTTTGAGTGGTTCTAACGTTTACCATGAAATTACTCCTTAAAGTATAGTTTATAAACATTTATATTCAGGGTAAACTTAAAAAACGCTACTTACGGTTTGCTAGAGTAGTTACCGAAATAGCAATTAATATTAGTTCTTTTACGTGTTATAACTTCGATATCCGATAAATCGGTATAAAATCATCACCGGCACCTCTAGGTGTGCGGCTGCACATGTATCGCGTGAGCGGTTAGGTGCGCATGCTCCATGGTCGAAAGAGCAGAAGATTTGGATGTGAAATGCGCGATTATTTTTTTAATGAAAAATTTTACTTACCGATAACTTTCAGAACTATTTGGTAATTTTTTGTTGGAGAGTTCTTGAAGTCCACTCGGCATCGATAAGTGCCCTCGTCATCCAACTGGACATTTTCGACGCGCAATGCTGAAGGGTGTACTGTAGTGATGAAACGAGCTCGAGACGCGAAAGAATTACTGTCAGACCATTCGAGTGCGCCGGTGACTGACCGCCCGCGGACGTCGTAACTGGGGACAAAGTTTACATAGGTACATATGTGCGGACTGAGATTATAATATTAATATAATATTAGATTTAATTTAATACTCGTAAAATTTACTCATTAAGATGTCAAAGGAGGTGTAACGATCTATATAAATCACATAAGCGAAGTACATCTATATATGTACGTGATATCCATAGTTCTACAAAGACAAAATTGCGGTGAGAAATTGAATAATTAATCAATGAACATTTAAATGTTATTGAGCGTTCCCGACAGATTTGTAATAAAGATCTAAATGTTGTTCTCTCGGCTTACGTGTAATTTTTATAATCTTTTGGCCACAACAGTAAGTAAAAGTTGAATACAATATGTATGATACTTTCACTTAATACTGTTGTTCGTTGTTATAAGAAACAAAATCCTTTTTTCATCCTTTGCACAGATTTCCTCGTAAGGTCCGACCAGTGAATGCTACACTTTAGTTTTATCTATTTTTGGCTGCGCATTGATCTTTATTTATATTCGTCTTTTTTTTGTTTGTCATTTTTATAATGGAGCGTTGCAATAGATGATTTGTATTCATTGACTTACAATTATATGGACGTCGGGTCCGCGCTAAAAAGTGTCCGCACTTGTAAGGCGCTAAAATCGTATACAGAGCGCGACACTCCGCTTTAGTCTTCATTTGTTCTACGGACAGCGCGATACTGCGATGACATAACAATTTAAATTTCGAATAGGTTGACTTGGGACATTTTTTTCGTGGTTTTTGTATTAGACCCGTCGTCCATTTATTTGTAAGTCAATGTTTGTATTCTATTCTGTTCTAAAAAAAGCATGTCAAAAAGGTCGACCACAGATTCTGCCATGATCTATCATAGAATAGAACACCACAATTAAAAAAAAATACAATTCAAATACTAATTTGTAAAAATAACGCAATCAGGTACTATAATAATTGTTTTCGTCTTATAAATTAAAATAAATGAAATCAAATTTGACACATACAACATTTAGACATAAAATTAAATTAAGTAATATTAGCAATAATGGTAAAATTGCACAATGCCAAGTATATATAAATACACAAATACTAGCTACTTCGCAAAACCTGCGTCCCGAGATTGATATTCAAAGACAGATAACATTTCCGTTTGAAAGTTGGTATTGCTTGATGCACTACATACTGTGGGGCGTAATTTCACTCAATTATAAAGCCTTAGGAACGAAGGATGGCGACATCCCGTGCATTTTGTGACCCAGTGTTTTTAACGACGTGCTTTAAGGAGACCTATCAATACTTGTAATTCATTATCAAAGTATCAATAAATCTAACTGAGTACAGCCTGTAGCAGTTGGGGTTATAAAGTTGATATAGCCGATATAGGTTATGTTTATGACATTGTCCAGTGTTTCGCTTCAGATGTATATTCGTAGTAGCAGAAAACAACATGTTTTCAGTTTGTTCCCAAAAATAATAAAGAACTTACCGAATATTCCCAAATCTGCCAAACTCTGCCACATTTAATTGTAACTTATCATGTTCTGCAGCAGTGAATATGAATAAAAATTAAATCTGCCGCAAATGGTCACACTGTTCTCAATATCAATGTGACATTGACATGCACGTTTACAATATTAAAAGAAAAAAAAAGAGAAGTTTGAGCAAAACCATAAATTAAAAATCTTACCAAAATAAACAAAATTAACGCATCTTGGACCTAGTTTTGAGGCCTCATAGACGATGTAAATGATTCTAAAGATTGGTGGAATATATCTACCTCAGTACTAACCTTATTATAATTTATGCACATACGAAACAATGGATCATTGTACGACACGTTGTATGTTGTTAGTGGCACACAAAAAAGTTTTTGTGTGCGGTATCTTCCAATCACAATCCCAACCCTGTCTAACAATTCACTAGCATCCCACACAGAGTTAACCAATTTATATAACACAGCAAAGCTGTGCGAAGAGCGTCTACTCTCTAAAGTGTCAATTTTAAAATACCTTAATATATTGATAACTACGCACAAACTAAAACGCAAAATTATACTAACAAAGTCCATGAACGGCTTTTCGTCATTACTGGGGCAGCTGTCGCCATTCTTCTTTGGCTCCACAAGTTGCCGACAAACACAATTCGTGTAAATTAGTTATTTGGTTTTTAAATCACATTACATGTGTATCAATCTTCAGTGAATGCATTATAGGGGTCATAGTTGTACATTGTTGTCAGTGATGACGTGTTGTAAAATTTATTTTACGAAATTCAAAATGTTTAAAACTGAAATGTTAAGCGTCACGTACAGGCTCGCTGTCCAGCACAACTTCTACCTCCGGCAAACTGCGTCAAAGCTCAATGTAAAACAAGGCAGTTTCGAATTTTCGATATATTAAGTAAACATTTTTATTTTCGTTTTATTAAAACTTTTTAATCAGTTACCCCTTGCATTACTAGTCATAAATCTAAAAACTTTTAGACGCGACACGATTTCATTACATTGAGTTTCGATAAATAATTGATATTTGACCTCACTATTGTTATATTCTGTCAAAACGGCCATCACAGCGTGCCGGTAATGTAAGGTATCCAGTATCATAGGCGTTATATTACCCACAAAACTTTTTCAGGAATTATTGCAGCACTTGTAGAATTTAAATGCGGTAATATCTCAGATTAAAACGTCACGTACGTAAAGATAAGTCTTTAAACACGATGATCTAGACATTTGTGTACCTATTTCGTACGGAATATATAACATCGCAGTTACACAAATTTACAAGCAGCAGTATAGCTCCTTGTGAAGAGTTCCTACACTACGTACAGGGAAGTACTGCCACCTTACCTATTTCCGCCGCCAAGCTGTAATGTGAGCATTACTGCGTTCCGATTTTGAAAGTTAAGGATGCTGCTGAAATTGCAGGTGTATGGGACTTGTCATCTTATGTCTCAGAGAGACAAGCACAGCGGTTGTGCGCTGGCACTGCAGCTACAATGAACGGGCGTGTCGCTTATGTTGTTTTGTTGGTTCTGACACTTGGTACCTTAGAATAATAACGCATAGAAACCTAGTCCGCACACGCTGAGGCAAATTGAAGCGCGCCAAAAGGGCCTACACGAGCAGGCGGGCCGTCAGTGCTCAAGGTCAACTTGCACCGCGAACAGCTACAGAATTTTAACTAAAAATGTACGGTAAATGAGTGTAAAAATACGTCAGACAAACATAAAATCGATACTAACATCACATTCCACAAGGAAGTAACGCGTTTCAACTTGCATTTTTATATAAATATTCACTAAAACCGAAAATTAACCTACTACTAAAACTAGCCTACATGAATTTGATTTTTGCCTCACTTGTGACAGTTCGTTTGATATGAAACTATCATTCTATGCGTTATTATTCTAAGCTTGGTACCATATAAAAACCCATTGTTTGCCAGTAAATCAATTGTACGTTATAATAATTAATTAGAATAATATTCTATACTTTTACTAAATTATACACATTGCCGTAAACATATACATTTATAGAATATCAATAAATCATTGTATATTTTGCATTACGTACGTAGGTGCTTAAAACCAACGACAAGTGGAATACTACCTGAAATAAACATTTTAAAGTGAAAATTTTTATATGCTGCGACAGGCAGACTACGTTTTTCAAGACAAAAATATTCACAAATATTTAGTTAAACGGACATGACCACAGTTAATTGAATAAAAACTGTGGCATCGATTGTCACAAGTTTGTAAAAGAAATTTTAAAACTCGATGAATTTCAAGCCTTTGACTTTTTTATGCTGATTTCACCAAAGCATCGTAATTTCAGGCTTAATGTCTTTTTTAAGAATTATACTGGTCCAGATAACGGTGGGCATGACTAGAAAATGTGAAATTTCAGTGGACGTGGCAGAAAATTGGGACTGTTCTTTAAATATTTTCGAAAGACTTGGAGGATTATTGGAGTTAACTCAACTTCATTTACATTTGAAGTTACAACTTATACGCTTGCCATGCTGGACTTGGCAGTCCCGCAAAGGTCCCGGATTCAATTGCCGCCGGGCTGGGAGAAATAAGTGTATGGCCTACATTAGTTTCTCTCGTGAGTTTGGGTATAATTTGTCTATGTGTGTGCCCATGGCACCCGCGACACAGGGTTTCTCTAGTGCGGGACTATGTTGAGTGTGTGCGTTATTTATATTTATTTATTTATTATCTGTGTTGGAATCTCTATGATTGACCTGGCCATCAGATCATGTTTCTGATCACGTTTTTGTGTTGTGACGTAACTTTAAATGATGAATGTCAATAGGTACAAGTTTGAGTGAAAATGCTATTGGTTTAATTAGGTTATAGGAAATATGTTTTTTAATGACCAAGACATATCTTGGTCATTAGTAACAATTTGAGCATCCAAAAAATGGATCGCTTTAATATTGGAAAGTTACGTGGACTCGATAATTGGTTGGTGGGTGTCGTGGTCATCGAAAACACAAAGATTTGTGACTCTGTCAACGACTGAGGTGGAGTTTGTGGCGGCCAGACTTGCTGTACAGACAGTTATATGGCTCACCCGTCTCTACAAGGAAGCGCGTGGAGAAGCTGCCACTCCTATACTTTATGTCGACAACCAGAATGCAATCTAGCTCATAACGGATGTAGTGTTTCACTAGAAGACGAAACATATAGATACGCGTTATAAGTTTCTTCGTGAGCTTTATCAAGAAATGAAGATCGACGTCCTCGACATACCGGGGTCAACTTTAAAATACCAACACGATTTGAGAATTGAAATGATATGGTGAATAGACTCCTTATTTAGTAGTTTAATCCTAAAATATTAACTAACGGAAACTCATAGTTTTGTTAATAAAAATTAATGAAGTATTCGAAAATAAATGATAGAAAAAGGTTTCGCAGGTTAGGAACGCACGGCGTTTGGGTTGTCTCAGTAAAATTTTAGAAATTCTCTATCGAACTCTCCATATTTTTTTATGAAAATTATTTTG